TTTTTCTTTTTCTTTTTTTTCATGTCTATTTAATCCTAATGAGCTGTTACAGACAGTTCAAACAGAAGTTTATTGCTGGAGGTCACTGCTCATCCTCTCCATTCACTAACAACCAAGAAACTATTTTGGACTCTTCTAGGAACATCCAAACACCCCTTCTGGGGCTGCCCACTACAGGCATCCCTGTGAAGCAGGTGAATGTACAAATCTCTGGCAAAGAAGTGCCTGTTAGATCAGTCAGGATATTCCTTACACAGTAATGAAGACCAAGTGGAGACTTGTGCCTGCATTGTTCTATTAAGTTTCCTCTTGTTTCCATATCACAGCACGCGCAGTCAAAGCTATTTTGGTGCTTCACTGATCAAACTGATTTTTCCTTTTGATGATAATATGAAATATTATAGCATAATAGGGTTGTTATATAATCAAAGTCGACAGCAGGGAGCTAAATTTGTGTTGTTTTGATGAAGAACACATTAGTGTGACATAAATAGACTAATCTGATTTATTATTATTATTTCTAATGCTTAATAATAGGGAATGGTAGGGGAAATGAGACTCTGGGGAATGAGAGTGCATCACAAAGTGATAGCAGACATTAGGATGTCTAGTCACAAGCAGTATCACTACTACCTGCTCATAGCTGAATTTCAAGAGCGAGTAGAGAGCAAGGGAAGTTGTTCTGAAAGAGATAATATCTTAAGTGGAATAAACCCAATAATGTACTAACCAAAGCATTCTGTGAAAAGCAGTGTTGTGAGAAGAAAACGTAGGGCAATAAGAAGTCAGAGACAGAACAGACAAAAGTCAGCTCACCTTTCACTGACTGGTTTTTCATGTTTAAGTGAAAAGCTGGGATTAACCTTGGACAAAAGCTTCCCTTTCATGATACAGTCTGTTCCAGTTCCAGACAGCCCAAGCCATTATTCACACATCAGTCAAGAACTATAAAAACAACTAAAGAGAGAGAGGCAGATTTTGCCTCTTGTTCGGATTGTGCACATGTGAGGGTTCTTCTGTCTGGCTGCTCACAAAGCAAAGTTTAGCAAGAGTTTCCTTGCAAATGAAACATCCTGAAATTTCAAAATCCCTTGTGTGGCAAAAATAGGTTGGACAGATTTGTGGGCTCTTCAGCCAGAAAATAAAACAAATAAGCTTATTTGAAAATCACAATGAATGCAGATACATTCAGACAAAACATTTTCAAACATACACACTCATTATAGTTTTTAAATGTAAAAGTATTTTTATGGACATCTACTCTGGCTCCTTCATATCAACATACACAGATTTCTTGAACTACATCTACAAACTTCAACTAAGCTAAAGCAGAGTTATTATAAAGCCATTAAGTTTTAATGCAGAAACTCTAAGTGGCAGATAAGCCATGATATGCTGAGGTAAGTTTCTCCCCTGGTTAAACACCCTGTGTATTAAAATTGACTTTTCATTTATGGTTCCAGATGAAAGATTTAGTAACAAACCAGCTACAGTATGTAAAGATTTCAACCTTTCCAGTTCAACATGTTTTACAGGACATTTAAAGATGAATTCTATATGCAACAGAAATAATAGTTTCTTCTTTTCTCAAAGGAAAAGAAAAAAAAAATCTATGCAATGTTTTATAAGATGCAACTGTTTTTTTATGTTTTAAGGATTTTTATAAATGTCTTGTTACCAAAATTCTCCTTTGTCAGGCACAGAATTCAACTCGAATCCTGCAAAACCCCAAAGTTTTCCTGCTTCTCTCCAGTGTCAGATACACCCAGCATCTGTACATGATATAGAGGTGTATATTCCAGGCATACTTCTTATCTCCATAGCAGGAAAAGAGACATAATTTTTTTTTTTTTTTTCACTTCTAGGATAACAAACAAAGATGAAAAAAGTGAATTTGGAGAACACTGTGAACCCTATGGGCTGTCAGGGGAAGCAGCTTCGAGGTGTCAAACATTGAGGTGGTTGAACACATCCCGAAACTGCTTTTTTAGGTATTCTTGCTTTGATCCTTCTGCTATCAGCATTTGCCCTAGGACATGGTACTGGCAGTACAGCACTGATGCACCCAGCTTGCCCCACACATTACTCTGAAAAAGTCCATCCTCATCCATCCTCATTAAGAATCCTGTTAGCTCTTCACCAATCTTAATGGAGGATTTCATGCCACAGCAATTTCTACACCCAAAGGAAGCTGCATAACGGAGTCAAAGTCGTGGATAACTTGCTTGTCATTTACTTATTGAAAGACAGATGTGGAGAACATGAGCATATTTGATAGTTAATCATTTAAAGCCAAGGAGTAGACAACAGAGGAGGAATGGCACTCCTTATTTCTCCCTATTAATGCTCTTTATAACTGTCTCTTTGAGAAGATATCAACATCCATCAGCACACAGAGCTCAGAGCTGGGCACACACCATCTAGTTTGAAGAGTAAAGAAAGGATTATTGCTTTTACACTGAGAGCACAAAATGGTAGAATCAGCAGGAGGCGATTAGTGCCAAAAAGAAATGGGTTTTGTATGGCAAATTAACACGGAAAGCTATTTAAAAGACAGAATTAAATCAGAGACAAAGGTGCAGGTTCATAAAACTCCCAGTCCTACCCTTGTAAAATCAAAGATAAATCTCCAAAAGCACTAAATCCCATGTAATCACTGAAAATTCCTATTTTCTTAAAAGGGAGCTGGATTAGGCCTCTAATTAAGTTCTGTAAAGTCTGTTTGGTCCAGATGAACAACTGAGAGATGGACAATGTCCAAGGAACAACTTTATGACATGGTCTCAACATCCTCCAATACAACTTGCCAACACAACTGCTCCCGCTGTTACCCTTCAAACACTGGAGTAAAGCTATTTTTGCCTGTTACTGCTAAATACATTTTGCCTTTGCCTAGCAAAAAAAGCAATATCACATCTAATCTCACGAGTTCCCAGTGAGCCAAACACAAGATACTGTCCCTTGAATTCTTCCTGAGACCAACAAAGGCTTTCCATTATTTACAAATCAAAAGCATTTAGAGACAATCATCTGTATTTTTTTATTTAAAACAAGGAATGCCCTGTCACTATTATATAAGAAAAAAATAGACATCCTCCTATTTATACCCATCTTAACCAAGCATTCCAAAAATATAAATCCTATTCATGCAGGTAATTGCTGCACAAAATAATAATAATAATAATAATAATAATAATAATAATAATAATAATAATAATAATAATAATAATAATAATAATAATAATAATAATAATTTATAAATAAAATTAAAATAACAAAATACACTCTACTGTTCCAACAATTTTTCCAATTTATCCTAGGAATTCTTCTTGCAAATTGTTCGAACAGTTGAAAATTATAAAATTAAATATAGTTAAATTAATATGATTATTTGCTTTTGATTATTAATTCCATTGCTAGTTTTTCTTGTGTTTTTATTATGCATACCAGTTTTACAAAGTGCATGCTTTATTTTTTTTTTTTAATTTTGAACTGGCAAGCTAAAATGATTGATCTTCTCCTGCCTTTTTTTTTTTTAATGTTAATACAATCTAAAATCTAGCATTAAAAAATTTACCATGATACACCTAGTATATTGACTGCTTATGGCGCATGCTTCTCTTGGCAAAAAAAAAACAAAACAAAACAAATTGGCTCCCCTCCCACCCTCCCCGTTCCTTTTGGAAGCAAATCTAAAAAAGCAGGCTGGAACACAATTGCTTCAAGGGCAACAGAAAAAAATAATTCCTGATGCTTTAATTTTTGTCACATGGCACTGGTTGTGGAATTGCACGCGCACACACACGCACACGCACCCGGCACTCACACAGGCACACGCACACACACTGCAACCTGCTCGTGAGGAAAAAAGTTTGTTAGGTCAGGAGTGCCAGTGGCACATGAAGGCTCCCAGCTGTGTGTGCAACTTTGGATTTGGTACCCACTTCACGTCACCTTGAATCCTCTGACATCCACCAAGGGGGTAATGTAAGGCATACTTTGCTGGAACAGTAATAATCCATGCTTCATGCTCAAGAGCTGAGTCTCAGAGGAGGACTGGCTTGCTCTACTCCCTTTGGCCTCGCTCCGTCTCACTCAAGGAACAAAAAACCCAAAACAACAAAGAACTGGGAAAAACAAGGAAAGTAAAATAAGACAAATCCCTTTAAATGGACTTTCGCCGTTTCATCAGCCTGTGGTTATCTGTAAAGCTGTGCAACCCAGGTGAGATGGAGCTGACAGGAGATGGGAAAAGGCTGTTTTTTAATGTGCTTGGCGAGATCTCCTCTATCTTGTAAGAGATGGAGTGAAAGTACTGGGGGTTCAGCTTCGAGCTGAACGAATTTTGGTGGGACACCACCCGGCTGGTGTACTCGTGGGACCTGTAACACATGCAGGAACAAACTGACTGAAGGTCTGTTACTTCGGCCTTGTACCGTGGCCGACCATGCTGGGAGTCCTCTTGGATGTGGATAATCATGCTGTTGCGGTTCCCTGCCAGGGACGCCCGTTCCTCGGCGTCCCTCCTCTCATCCTCACTGTTCATGGTCAAGAACCTGAGAACAACCAGATTTAGAAATGCCCCAATGACTGTCAACCCCACTAGAATGTACATAAAGCTAAAAGCCACGTAGAGAGGCTTCTTTTGAAGGGCCCCTTTGGTCTGCAGGGCCACATAGTCTCCAAACCCTATGGTAGTCAATGTTATAAAGCAGTAATAGTAAGCATGGAAAAAGCTCCATTCCTCGTACTGGGAAAAGGCTGCTGCTCCAATGCAGAGTGTCCCCATGCAGGAGAAGAAACCCACAGTGACCATGTTTTCCATGGAGACCTCGGTGCTCCTCATGCCGCAGCACTTTTTGATGCGTTTCAAGAGGTACTTGACAAAGGTGTTCATGCGCTCGCCCAGGCTCTGGAACATGACGAGTGTCAGTGGGATCCCCAGGACTGCATAGAACATGCAGAAAGCCTTCCCCGCATCCGTCCCTGGGGCAGCGTGTCCGTAACCTGGAAGGGGGGATGGAAACACACGACAGTCAGCAGGGCAGGTGATGGCCATGGTTCCCCCATCACGCAGGCCACGCAAATCGCTCTGACACCACAGCCAGGTCCCGAGCTGAAGGGACACTGCAGTCACACCACTTCCCCATATCTCCTCACCCACACCCTATGTCTGAAGTAAACAAGACACAGAACAACAATGTTCATGCAGGAGTGGGAAAGGTGAAAGAATGAGCAACCCATTCTACCTCAATGTTCTACCTCAACAATGTTGAGTCTCCTAAACAAGGTTATATTGCATTGGTTAACTGAAAAAATTTCATGTCTGTTTAGTGTCACAGGCAAAAGTGGAAGCTTTGGACATAAATGGACTTTCCCAGTGTTTTTGAGAGTAGTTGGCGTTGCTCTGTCCCAAAACCAGAGTATTGTGATGGCACGGAGTTAACAACAACCCAGTCCCACCAGCCAAAGAAATTCCCTTTCAAGCTCTCCCATACTGAATAAGCCTTTCTCCTAGACACCTAATGAAAGTGACTCATTGCTGGAACGCCATAGGGATGTAGGGATTTAATGCCCATTCTACCTTTACTTACTGGAAGAATAAACAACTTACCAGCTTGTGCCATACTTTTACAGCTTTGACAGTTAGTATGGAAAAAGCAATTTCATCAGGATATTAAACTAATCCAAGAATAGACGATGTACCACATTTCATAGCATAGTTTTCAGGCAGTAAAATCATGGCTAAGCCTTTATTCTAAATCAAACCATAAGTGAGGGGCTGTTTTGATTTTATAATTATACCTATTCAGATTACATTGCTTTAAAAATCTACATTTCTTACAGCTGAGATTTTAAGAGACTGTACCAAAGTCTCCAAAAGGAGTTGGCTGGGACCCACTTAGCCTTTGTGTCCATTCACCATGTGGGTACCACTATCTAGAGTCCCTTTACAGCCACTGAGTGGAACTATGTACTTCACAAGGGCAGTTCCTGTCGTGAGATGACAAAGATGTCTAAAACAGGCCAGTGAGTTATTCTTAGGACACAACTATTTCTCTACAATCATTATAATAGAAATCTTGGGACAGAACTCTGTTCAAGATTGATATACCTACATTTATGTATCTGCATGTGTTCTATGTATCCAAACTCCTGTTATAGCCAATAAAAATTCTATGAAAACAGGCAGTAGTGAGTTATTTCACTGACCATCCCAAGTCTGGCAAGATGAAATGACAGTTCTGACTGTTCATTGATCATGTTCATTATGTCCCCATTAGACTGACTAGACATCTGTTACTTCAGAAGAATTTAGGCACCCACAGCACTGGCAGACAGCTACCTGTAAACAGCCAAATGAAGCTATCCTAATCATGATAGTCACCTTGAGTGACTGTCTCCAGTAGGTGCCTGCACTGGAGATTTTGAGGGTTTAAATCAGTTTTCCAGAAACAATCATCTCGCTTTATACGAGACCCCTGAGATATCAGGATACCCATAGGTGCTGGCAGATAAAACACAGGGCATTCAGCAGGCCCACACTCATACAGATCTGAAGCTGGAGGACAGACCTGACATGAGATACCACTGAGGCAGGACCACCAAGGAGCCCTGCCCATCACCTTCAGACTCAGGTCATGGACCTGCTGCTCTGAATTAGTCTAATTATTTTTCTAAACTGTTGACAATGCACACCTCCTCAATCTCCTGTGGCAACAAATCCCAGAAGTTCACTATCTGTTATGTAAAAAAGGTACATTTTAATTTCAAGGATATCTCCTTGTTTCAGCTAGAACACCTTAGTTACAAAAATGAAGTTCTAAATCTTCCTTATCTACCACCTTCACGTTTTCAGCTAAACTCAGTTTTATCTCTGCTCTCAGCTTCTCCCTGTCTAAACTGAAGCCACAGCCCTTTAAACTCATAGCAGAAGTCACTTTTGCTTGATCATTTCTGTGTCCTTCTCTGGACCTTCTGTAGCTCTGCCACACCAGTGCTGAGGTGCAGAACCCAGAACTCTGCCTTTCCTCTCAGGATGGGGCTGCATCTCAGAATCTGCACTTTTACTAGAACTAAAATATGGACACCAGGCAACCTTCAAAATGTAAAGCAAGAGCAGACAAGGAAAATAAAACAAGAAAATCAGCAAGAATCCCCTTCAAAAAGCAAAATATTTATTCTTAGGTCAGTTGGTATTTGTTGATGGATAGGTTGTATAAATTACTTTACAAAAGAAGCACAAAACTCAAAATAGGAGGTTCTTTTACAAGTTATAGAGGAAAGAGATTCACCTGTTGTATTGAGCCAGGTATTCTCTTCATCATAAAAAGCAGTTTCCAAATTACCTGGAAAGGGAAGTGTCTTCACCAGATTGATGCTGGGTTAGTTCCACCTGATGGTCCTTCAATAAAGGCTATAATTGCCTCTCATTACTAAGATCAGCTTTTAAACTACAGGGGTGTTAATTAAACCAGGGACATCTTCCTATTTTATAGCTTTAGTTACAGATGATAAAGAGAAGGAAAGCTTCAAAAAATGTGATTTTCCAGATGGTTGCAGAGATGGCAGTTGGTGGAAACAACTTTTACTTTGGGTTCTAAAAAAATATTTGGGGTGAAAAAAGGTTTATTTTGCTCTCACTATATCTTTCTCATTAAATATATCCCCAAGAAACAGTTTAGGGACATAATAAAACATTAATATTATATGTTTGCATGTTATCTCACAGTTTGATTTCTAAGATTTGTCACAGACTTTGTAATTATTTATCCTATAAGATACAAATATATCCAGATCCCTGTTTTACAGATAGGGAAGCACAGACACCAGCAGGCTTTAGTTTCCCTTCAATTCATGTATGAAGATAGAAAATCCAGAAATTCTGACTTCTATTCCTGCCCAAGTCATACTCACATTCCCCAATATCAGATAAATGTCTCTTACTGTATTTTCACCATGAATCTGGGGTAAAGAAAGGACTTTATTAATGAAGCTGGAATAAGACTCTACGAATAGATTAGTGTATAGAGGATTAGAGTCACATATTTATCCTATACAACAAGGCTTTAAGGAATTGCCATTGCTTAAACACTCTGAAATGAAGGGTATGAAAATACACCAAAGACAGACCTAACTCTCCATTACTTAAGCATTACAGAACCTATCCAGCAGTAATACATGGAAAGCAAACTACAGCAGGGCATGTTCTCTGAAATTCAGTATTTTTCAAATCTAAAACAAACCATTGGCTTCTTAACATCAGAGAATGCCTCTGGGAAAAAGGGGAAGGTGAATAATTGCCAGAAAAAGAGGGGCACAAAGGAGCAATAATGCTGGGAAAGGACACAGGTCACAGAGTCAGTCTCCAGGTAGTTGGGTTTTACTTGCATTAAGTAATGGCATAAGCAGAAGCAACTGCCTTGGTAGCAGATTCCAGCTACCAAGATTCTTCCTGATCTCCTCTACACGAATGTCACTGCCCTTTAGCAGAGTACAAAGAGATGACTTGGTGTCATCATTAAGAAACACAAGGCTTAAAGAAAAACAGAAATGTTAATGATGACATCAGGGATTCTCTCTATTCTGTGGTGAAGAAGAAAGATCAAACAGAAGACCTTAGTACTGGATACAGGAAATGCATCCCTTAACAAGCCACAGAACTCAGGTAAGAGTGAGAAAGGTACAGATGGAGCTTTACACTGGACTACACCTGAACAAACACTGCCCATCTTACTCTAGTGTAGTAACTGGTACCACAATACAGCAAAGTGACCACAGCAGGCAGCTTTGTCTGGTGTTTAATGAGATATCATTTGAATGATCAAGGAAAGCCTAAATAACTCTCACACTGACTGGAAGCAATGTCATTAGTACTCTCCCTCACTTTCAAAACCCCTCCCAGCTGCTTAGGCTTTCAAGACAGAGCTCATCTGGGCTGACACCAAGAATAGCTTGGCACAGAGAAATGTCATGTTTCAGCGTTACTCCGGATCTGGACTGTGAAGCACCAATACACCACAAAATCCATCTCCTCCCAGTCATGGAACAGCTGGGCTACAGACACCAAGCAGAAATGCAGGAAGGTGTAGGCAAGGGAAGAAAAGAATCACACTGTAAGGGGTAGCTCCAAATCAGTATTCTGTTTGGGTCTTCCCTGCCTTTGGTTTTGCCAGGCCTTGTCCTTTCTCTGATGAAAAACTCTCAAAGAACATGTGTACCTACATGGAATTCTAGAAGAAAAAAGAAATTTTATTTTCTTCTTTGCCAGAGTGTAGCTATAAAAGTCTGAAGAAAAAACACTTAGAGCCTTCTTCAATACTAATTTTTCTATGGTGCCTTTCAGATGAGACACAGAGAGAAACTACTCATTACAATCTCCGTGAGGTCCAGCTAGGGACAACCCCACTATTTTTCTATGGGCAGTAAAAAGACATTGTCCTGGCGTACCAGCCCACAACCAGAACATGCAGAGGAACTCTGTGCACAGCTACCTGGAATCCAACAGTGCCCACAGGCAGATGGCTGAGGAAGAGCAGCATAGGAATGCTACAATTACGTGTGAGTTTTGTCCCAGGAATTCATGTACCCAGATTCATTATTTGGTGCTCAGGGATTTCTTAAACCAGTTTTTGCTGGGTTTAGTAACAAAAAAATGGATTTCTCTTGCATGAGCTTGGGCATTGTCCCTTCCATGTCTTTAACATCCTGTGGCAAGAAGGTTCATAGAACAATAATGTACTCTCTAAAAAATTTGCCATTGCTCCTTTACTTCCCTTTCATTACTATCATTTGATGGCAATGGTATCTCCTCCTTTTTGGAAGAGACCAGGAACCCATTCCCCATTCCCCTTCTTTGTGTCACTCATAACTTTATAGACCTTTTAACCACAAAAATGCCATGTTGCATTCAGGCCCCAAGCAAGTACCTCTGAAACTTTGCAGCCTCATGTGAACAGAGCAGCTTGCTTAGATCTAGATCAGTAACTTCTGCACCACACTCATTT